TCAGTTATTTCACCTTTTTTTTGTTAAGTACATAACTCCACATGTGTTCATTCATAGTTTTGATGCCTTCAGTGAGAATCTACAATGTAAATAGTCATGAAAATAAAGAAAACGCATTGAATGAGAAGGTGTGTCCAAACTTTTGGCCTGTACTGTATACTGTCATATATCAATATATACTTACAACATATTGTACCACAATTTACTTAAATTAATGTTGTTGTAAGCTATTATCATTACTGTCTGCCCTGCATCTCTTTCTGGCTTTGTCTCTCTCAGTCTCTGTCTCTCTTTATGTATCATTTTGTCATACGGATTACTGCAAATTTATTATGTCGATCTGTTCTGTATGACATCTATTGCACATTGCCTGAGGTTTCTACCATTTTTCCCTGTTAAAGGTTTTTTTTTGGGTGAGTTTTTCCTTTTCCGCTGTGAGGGTCCAAAGGATTTTACATAATACGGTCGGAATTAATATATATAAATGCTTGAAGATCCACTCATTATTAAAAGTGTATGTCATTTAAAAACTAAAGTAACGGTCAAAGTTGTCAAAGTGACATTGAAGGTGTGTTGATGGATTCACGTTGTCACCTCATACATTGAATAACATTACAAGTAAACGTTCCACCTCAAAAGTCGCTGGCAGTCGGCCCAGTGAATTAAGTGTCTTTTCTCCCATTATGGCTGCTGCGAGAGGCAGCAAAACATCTTTTCATTTTATAGTTACACTCCACTGATAAAACGCTCCAGAGGTTACATGAGCATCAAAACCAGCCACCATCAAACTTCAGATGGCTGGTAAATTGTCCAAATATGTAGGAATCTTTGGTAATTCCAGTGATTTCTGTTTTACTACAGTATGCCGTTATTTACATGCCACCAAAATAGCTTGCACTTCTGTCACTTATATTCACTGAAGCACCTGTCCGTCATCACAGCCCTGGACTGTAGTTGCAACAGCTCCTTTTAAAAACAATTTGCTTTCTTGGGGAACGCTCTTGCAGGTAGACAGTTATCAGGACGGTTGCTGTGTGGCTGTGTGAAAGCAGCTTATTGTATAAGTCCCCAAAAAAGTGTGAGAGTGTGAGCGACCTTATTTTCACTGTGAATTAGAGACTGTTTTTGGGGGCCACCTAGCACCTAATCGGGGGCCAGATTTGGCCCGTGGGCAGTTAGTTAAGTATCAGTGATGTAGCTTTCTTTTCTCATGAGGTCGTCCTGCTGTATGTTAACTGGTCTTAAATGGAGCTGCTAATGGTTTCTGTATCCTTGTCAAGCCAAGATACAAATAATCATTTGCCCCATGTTACGCTGTCTTATTCACTTCAGTTCATTTTTACAAGTAACAATCAATCAGTCGATCAATCAATCAATCAATCAATCAATGCTACCACTCATTACCAGTGTTGTGCTAGTTACTGAAAAATAGTAACCAGTTACCATTACTAGTTACTTCATTATAAAGTAACTCAGTTAGTAACTCAGTTACTTAAACCAAAAAGTAATGCGTTACTGAGAAAAGTAACTTTTTAGTTACCAAAAAAACTGGACTTAGGACTCCTGTCTTGGCTCGCCATCACGCCATGACCTTGCCGCACGCGCACTAGTGTCATCTATACTCTGAGTACGTCCTGGCTGTAGGTGACTGAGTGGGGACACTACAGGGCGCTAGGTGCTTTTCTTTTTTGCAGTGTAGTTTTTCTAAGCCACAAAGAAGACAACGTTGCTAAGAAGGATCATGTTTTGGGAAACTCAGCCCTGCAGGTCACTCGCTGTCAGGCAACTAAACGTTTTACAACTACAGTACTTGGATCAAATATGGAAAATGAGCTAAAGAGAACATCTGAAGAGCTACATGATGATGTCGAGTCTGGTGCCCACCGCAGACATTGTCTGTCCACAACAAAAGCTTCCTCTGGATAACAATGGATACCGCGTCACTGAATCTACAAATCTACAGAAGCGCTACCGCTTAATGTAACGTTACATCACTGTGGTGAGACCAGCAGGTTGACAGTGACTTCAGAGATGGTGAGAGACGTGTTTCATTAAGATGCTCTGGTAAGAATTGTTCATATACCTCAATCTGACTTGACTATCTTTTATTGTTTAGGGCTAAAATGTTTTAGTGAAAGGGAACTTCAGTTTGTGAAGGAATACTGCATGCTGCACGCCATGTTAAAACCTGGCCAAAAATAACGGAGTAACGCACCATCTGGTAACGGTAACTGAGTTACTGAATTTAAAAACGCGTTAGAGTATTAGTTACTTCCAAAACTAATGGCGTTACTGTAACGCGAACGCCATTAGTTTTGGCAGTTACTGCCCAACACTGCTCATTACAACTTGAGTTTTGTTTTTAATAGCTGTGGCCATCACCTCCCTTACTAATAATGACATCTTAATCCACAGCATGATAGTTTGGATGTGGAAACACAGTGAGGATAGGTCAGAAACACGAGCAGTCAGGTGATCAGACCAACACTAAAACCACTCTGAAGTAGTGATGGGATTTCTCGTTCACTTGTGAGAGCCGGTTCTTTGGCTCTCGTTCACTTTGAAGAGCTGGTTCAAAGATGTGGTTTGTTTGTTCGTTTTTGCTTTTGTTTTTTTGCTGTGTGTGTGTGTGTATGTGGGGGGGGGGGATAGCCATAGCAACGCCCTTTATAAACAACAAGCCTGTCAATACAAGCAAGTGCTAGCGGATAGTGGGTTAGCTTCCTACTGTTCGTTTCTAACCGAGGGGGTCATCAACATGATGTGAATTAGGAACTGGCTCGTTCACTTGTTCACTTCAAAGAGCCGGTTCAAAGACTCGGCTCGTTCGCGAACATCACATCACTACTCTATAGATGAATTCGGCAAGCGATTTGTGTATGCCGCCATCTTGCGGTGGCGCCATTGCTGCGGTGACGTGTCAGTCATCAATTCATTATGCTGTCATTGTGAACTGACTCTCTACAATGACAGTATCATCTAACATCATCAATCCAGCTAGGCTGATGATGTTAGACAGTGGCCTCCGGTAACTGATGAAGTTATCTTAAATGAGTATCGATATTAGTTTAGAAATTAATCATTTGTTTGAGCGATAAGCAGGAAAGATTAGAGTAATAGGGAGATAATAGACTGTGTCATTAAACACTGTGTAATATAACGCTAGCATACATTACGTATGCTGACATTATCAAGCTAGCAGCATGACATTTAATCATTATGGACAGGCTATGTGACTAAAAACAACAACAACACGTGTTTGTGTTTTGTTTTAGGTATTCAAGAATATTTTATTGATCGCCTGGCCTCTGATGACCAGAAAAACAGCAATTAACGTTACAGGTCTCTGATTGAGGGTCAAAATTACCTGAGCTCCGGATGGGTCGGGCAAATTTTACACCACCTTTTAGACGACCATCACATATTGAAGGCGATCAATATTGATGTGATGGTCATGTAGCCTGTCCATAGCCTAATGATTAAATGTCACGCTGCTAGCTTGCTAACGTCAGCACACGTAACGTATGCTAACGTTATATTACACAGTGTTTAATGACACTATTATCTCCCTATTACTCTAATCTTTCTTGCTTATCACTCAAACAAATGATTAATTTCTATATTAATATCGGTACTCATTTAAGATACCTTCATCAGTTACCGGAGGCCACTGTCTAACATCATCAATCCAGCTATTCATTATGCTGTCATTGTAGAGAGTCAGTTCACAATGACAGCATAATGAATTGATGACTGACACATGTCACCGCAGCAATGGTGCCGCTGCAAGATGGCGGCATACACAAATCGCTCGCCGAATTCGTCTATAGAACACTGAAATGCCAATAATAATCCCTCCTAACACAAACACCTGGGTGAAAAGTGAAGCAGAAAGTGGGTCTGTAAATTGATGGATGTTTACAACAGACAGTTTGGTAATGATTTTACTGTTCACCTTTGTTTCTCTTCCAGATAACTTTGTCTGAAAAGCTTTGTATCCATCAGTCTGGATCCATCATCTCACTTTGTTCTGACATCTCAGAGATAAACTTGGGATAACAATTCTTTTAATGGATACATTATTAGAATTGTGAAGTTGTGCTGTTGCAAATCAAATTGCCCCTCAGGGACAATAAAGACTTTCTAATCTAATCTAATCTAATCTAATCTATTTTACAATAAATTATTTCCATCCCACATGGTGACTGTATTGCCCTGCACTTATACATTTTAGCTAATAAAGTTCTATTTTGGCAACAACAACAACTATATTCAAAGACACAGACACATAACCTAAAAACAGTCTGTCTGTGACAAATGCCGTTATCTTGCAATGCTGGTGATTTCTACCAAAGAATTTCAGTTTTATAATCTCTCCAAGTGGGACAAAGGGCTGGTACTATCAGATCTGTAATTCGCAGTTTATCAAAAGTTCACTGTACACCCACACAGCTGTTTAGGGCTGATAAGACCTCTTCTTAAACTAGTGTGGGTATGCAAACACTGACTCCTGTGAGCTGTTATTGTGGCACGATCTACAGCTTTAAATCTTTGGACCTCTGGTGACTGGTGCAATCCTGAGCAAAGATTCAAGCACTCAGTGCATTTACATGCACTGTTAAGTGGAGCTATGGTTATAGCTCAGGCCATTTAATTGGACTGGATGTAGATTTCACTATGTTGTTACCTGCTTCCTCTTCTGTTACGCATAGTGCAGAGCACCTATGCCAGTTTGGGTCTGATTGATTGTATGCATGCAGAGATAATTCGACTCCCAGTTGCATTTTCTGGGTGTGTTAGTCTAACTTTGAGAAATCTGATTCAGTACAATTTCAGTCGAACTAACATGTTTACATGTATTTTAAAAGTCAGGTTTTAGTGGAATTAACTGTCCACCAGGGAGAAGACAACCCATCTCACCCATGCCTTGTCTTGACCATAGTTTATCAAAGCCTCATTAGCCAGCTAACATAAGAGGTAAAAATCCCCCAGGCTCTGACCTTGTCTCTCTTCGTGGCCTCCAGTCTCTCTGTGTCTTTCCTTAGAGCTTCCATGTCTCTCTCCAGCCTCCTCTGTGCCTCCCTCACCCTCTCCATCTCTCTCTGGTACTCCTCTTCCTTCCTCTGCAGTGTCTCTCTCTCCTCCAACAGCTCTTGACGCCTCTTGCTGGTCTGCTCCTCCTCTACTCTTAGCCTCTCCTCCCGCTCTGCCAGACCTTTCTCCTTCAAGTCCCATGCCTTCTCTCTCCTCCTCTTTTCCTCCTGGTATGCAGCCTGCTGTTTCTGAAACAAAGCAAGAAGGTGTGTAGATATTGTATTGAGTGTAAGATGGTAAGATAGGGTTAGTTGTGGGACTGGATTAAAACATGAGGTATAAATCCTGTAGAAATGAGGAATGAGGAAAAAACGAGGAAGGAGCAGTGAAAGTGAACCTGCAGAGTGGCCGCCTCCTGTCGCTGTCTTTCCAGACTCCTATGTTTCTCCTGCTCCATGAAGGAGGAGGGGCATGAGGAGGAAGAGGATGAGAGTGAGGAGGAGGACGAGTGTCTGGAGGAATTGGCATTGAGCCGCTCATTCAGGGTCTGCCGCTGCTCCTGAATGAACGAGTCCTGCTGAACCACCACAGCCTAGAGGCAGAAAATGGTTTGGGATGAATTAGAATGATAGTAAACACAGCCTGTATGTGCCATCTTTTTACTGGAGGTGTGTCTCTAGTACCTGCAGTGAAATCAGCAGGTCGTGAAGATGTGTCACACTGTGCTGAACCTGCTGGAGTAACACACAGTACAATTACACTGGCGTTGCAGTAATGTCAAGTATTTTAAGACCCAGCAATCATCTGACGTTTGTCAACCTAGATAAATATAACTTCTTACTTTGCTATTATGTCACAGGAAGATCTAATGGTAAAAGCCTTTAAAAATGACCATATGTGGATGACCACCTACTTTACCTACAATGTGTGATGCCATATTTACTGTGTAGAGGTTGTAATGTCATATTAATAGGTAAATAATACTGTACGTCGTGTATCACCATTTATCCTGAAAATACAGTGACATGATTTTTTTTGTCCATATCGTATAGCCCTATTAGGAACAGTTAAAAGAGCAGCTATGGAGGATCTCAGGGTTTGTGGAGGGACATGAAATGATAGACAGTCTTTGGTATAAGACGGGGTGAGGCCATTAAGAGCCTTGAAAACCAACAGAAACAAACAGGTGCTATGGCTAGCGGAGATGAGGCTGGTCAGACTCTAATGGTGAGTCTGCAGGTGTAATGTGGTAAAAGCTGTTGGACGCAATTCTGAAAACCATCAACGACCGGTTCGACAAAATTTGAATCTCTACAATCCTAACAAATCACGTTAACGGCCCGAATGGACTCCATGGATAAGGTAGCCTCAGACCACAAATCCTGTCTGACGGTGATGGAGAAAACTGAAAATGGAGAACACTCGCCTGCATGCCAAAGTTCAAGACCTAGAAGGAAGGTCTTGCTGCAACAACATAAAAATTGTGGGCATCGCAGAGGGAGAGGAAAAAGGGACACCGATAGAGTTTGTAAGCGCCCTGATCCCAAAACTGGTGGGTGAGTCCTACTTCCAAAAACCTGTGATTATTGACTGTGCGCACAAACACCCAAAATTTGCATAAGAGAATGACACCTAGAACACCTAAACACCTATCCTGTCTTTCCCTGTCTGATTTTATTCTCAACATACATTAGAAAATTGCTTGTTATAAAATAAACTCTGCAACATACCTTGAATTATGTGTTTAGTCATTAGGGGTGAGAATGTGTCACTGATTTACCGTACTTCATTTATAGTTATTTCTTTCACTACTTATTTATATTACTAAAACTGAAGTCTGCTGCTAAAGTTGGCGTCAGGTTTTGCGAACAGTTTTTAATAAATCAGAAGTTGCATGTAACTGTGTTGGATTAGCTGCAAAATACATTTATTCTCTTTACATGGAGCTACAGTTAATACTGAATTATGTTAAATGTTTGCCGAATGTGTTAGTATCTCTTAAAGTGGACCTATTATGCATATTTTCATATGGGGGGTCTAGTGTAATAGATTCATGTGCTTTACTGTTCAAAACACACATTGTTTGTCTTACACTTATCAGTGCTGCAGCACCTCTGCTGTGTTTTGGCTTATGTCCCGCCTCCCCAGCAGCCAAGTCTGCTCTGATTGGTCAGTTCACTCAGTCTGTTGTGATTGGTGCAATGCTTAGAGCGTGAACGAAACGTCACGCCCCTTACCTTATCTGACTTCACCACCGGAGGCTGGCATAAGCAACACCGCTGAGGCTAAAGCTAAAGTTAACGATAGCGGTTAAATTTGAGTTAAGAAACACAAGTGGACAGACAGCTTCGAAATAAACCCAGGAGCAGGACGTTTCTCCTCAGTGGTAAGTTTTTATTTTGTAGCCGTCTTGTATTTCAGCTGTAACATGATAACTGTGACTTATCTGATGTTATGGGAACAACTGTATGTCTGTTCTCTGACTGAATGAAGTTAAAAAGGTCTGCTGCAGAGTACAAAAGGTTTCTAACAATATAGTCAGTTACAACATAATGTGGAAACACCAACAGCAGCACTCAGCTCTGTATATGACGGGGTCTAAAGCATAACTCCTTTTTAATCTAAACAGCCTTATCGATCAGACTAATGTAGCTCGTGTTGGGTAGTAATACCAAAGTTAATATAAATTCTGCTTCTAACACATTCCCCGTTAAAAACACAAAAGATTTAACCCGATTGAGATGACAGATTTCTGTATTATACAAAAACAAATGAATAGAGATAACTGGTACATTCAGATGTCTTAGCTGTCATGTTTACTGAAACCATTCTACTAAAATGTAGCTGCATTTTATAATCATCTTCACCTTGTGTTTGTAATCTATAATATGTGCAATGTACCCATGTGTCACAGTTTCTCCACATCATTTGTATGAAATCAAAGTTTCATAGTAAAACACATGTTGCTTCCTGGATCAGTATTTGTTCTATGCAGTGATGTTGTCTGCTGAGTCTTTATTTGCAATTTACATTCTAACATTTTTATAAATATTTATAAAACAGTATGACTTGTGTCTTTTTTACCTATTAGGTTTTGGGGTAATGTACCAGGTTCCAGTTCATCCTACATGTTTGATACACTATCCAGGCCTGGAGCCCGACTGTTCGTACACCCCACAGAACATCTAACATTTACAGGTATGACTATGGACACTAACAGCACAGAACTGAAGAAGAGTGCGTTTTTATGACGTGTAATGAGAATGTAATGTAATGTTTAAACTCAATTGTGAAAACTAAGGATGTGAAAACTAAGGATTCA